CCAGGTTACAAAGAAGAAACCTTCGTGGTCAATTAGCAGCCCCACCCTGCCTCTGGAGAGCTGCTGTCCGATGATGCTCTGGGCCATCCCGGCGACCTGGCTCTGTGGCCTTCTCGCTGACCATGTTCCCTCCCACCCTACACCAACCTCTCCGAGCCGCAAGCCCTGTGCTCTCTCCAGGTTCCTGCCCGAGATGCCCGCATCCTCCCACCCCGGGAACTTGTCACTCACATCGGAGTGGGGACAACCTTGGCGAGAGAATGGAGGCGGGGTGGGCCCTGGGACGGGGTGGACACCTGTGGGGCCTGGTGCCTGGGGGTGGGTGGAGGGAGTGGTTCCCACAAAGGAGACTGAGAAGGTGGGGCAGGGAGCCCCCGCTCCATTCGGCTTGCCATCCATCGCCCTCGCACCCCCTCTCCCTCTCCTCCACCCTGGGAAATCTGACTCCACTGGAAGCTGCAGCAGAAGTAGGAAGCGGGGTATTTATAGTGGGCTGAACGGGAAGGCGTCCAGGGCCGAGCGGGAGCTGGCAGGCTCGGGCTGGATGTGCAAACAGCCTCGGAGTGCCGGGAAACGCCTCGAAGGCCGGGTGCTTCCCAAGATAATCCAGGGGGCAGCTGTCTCGGATTCTGAAACTGGGTCTGGCTGCCTGAGCTGCGGGGAGCCCCAGGCCCCACACCGGCCCCGCTCTGGGAACAGATGGCACTAGGAATATATTTTTCTTTTTACCAAAAGCAAAAAGCTGGTAAGCGAACAGCTTGTCTAGAGAAAAGAGTGTTTCTCCTCCCCTCCCTTTCGGCAACGGATCAGAGCTGCCACCTCCCCTCCCCCAGTCCCTGCCCCCATGGCCTCCTTCCTTGTAAGACCTGGGCCGCTGAGGCACAGGGCATCACAGGTCTTCCTTACCTCAGAGTGCACGGGGTCCTCACCCACTAGTGGGTTTGACCCGGGGAGCAGCCAGGGCCCCTTGGTCCATAAGGGCCTGGGCCGAGCTGGGGCAGCCGCCTCTGGGAGGGTTGGCTGGTTGGAAAATGGACAGTGGGGACGTCCCAGAAATGATTTTTCCAGGAAGAGCTGGACAAGTGACCTCGGTGGCCCAATAATTGCGTGACTTTGTTCCTTCATCCACAGCGTTTCAAATCGATGGGTGTGCTTATTGCCTGTAAAGGCGATGCATCGATGCACGGGGGGCTTTTACATCTGCACAAACCCTCATGCCCAAGCCATTCCTCTCAGACCTTCCCTGACCACCCGCCGTGTGCAGGCCCCCGGCTCGGAGCTGAGGCTGTAGCGGCGGCTCAGATGGCGGCTCTGTCCTGGAGTTCACGGCCTGTGGTGGAGGATGCAGGGGGTGCAGAGCTTGAGTCAGACTCAGGAGTGTGAGCCCTGGGTGTGTTCTCTACGTGCTCTGTGACGCTGGGTGGATCACGTACCGGCCTGAACCTCAGTTTCCTTCTCTATCAAATGGGAGCAATAAGGAATCCATTCTTTGTAGAGTTATTACAAAAGTTAAAGAGAATCTACCTACAGAGCTTGAAACTCTGCTGGGTACATCATGGTCAGTAATTTCAGATGACATTATCATCATCACCATCACCACCATCACCACCATCACCATCATCACCATCATCACCACCATCACCACCATCACCATCATCATCACCACCATAGCCACCATCATCACCACCATCACCACCACCGTCACTACCATCACCATCATCACTACCATCACCATAACCACCATCATCACCATCACCACCACCATCACCACCATGACCATGACCATCACCACCACCACCAGCCACTATCATCACCACCATCACCACCATCACCATGACCATGACCATGACCACCAAAACCATCACCATCACCATCACTATCACCAACCACCATCATCACCACCATCACCGCCATCATCACCATCACCACCACCACCACCACCAACCACTACCACCACCAACCACCATCATCACCACTATCACCAACCACCATCATCACCACCATCACCACCATGACCATGACCATCACCACCACCACCAGCCACTATCATCACCACCATCACCACCATCACCACCACCATCACCAACCACCATCATCACCACCATCACCGCCATCATCACCATCATCATCACCATCACCAACCACCATTACCACCATCACCACTATCACCACCATCATCACCACCATCACCATCACCATCACCTTCACCATCACCACCATCACCACCACCATCACCATCATCACGACCATCGCCATGACCATCACCACCATCATCACCACCATCACCATCTTCATCACCATTGTCATTATCATCATCACCATCACTTACCTACAAAAACAGAATGGAAAGCCCCTTCCTATATGAGTCCCGGTGAGAATGCTGGGACATGAGATCAGGGCCCTGGCACAGAGCTGTACCTCAGGGACAGGCACTGCAGAGCTAGCTCATCAGGTGAGCCCTACCTGGATTTTGCCCCCAGGCTCTGCTTGTGGAACCTACAATGCTACTTAGCACAGTGACCAATCAGCTCTCCCAGGGCAAGGCAGATCCAGACCTGCTGTCTCGACTTGTGCCCACCAACTAGCCACCCTGATGCCCCGGGACTCCAGTGTTAAAGTTGAGTTCAGCTCTGGAGTCACTGCCCTGGACTCTGGCCGGTCCCCTCGGCTCCGGGGCCAGGCTAGTGGGTGCACCAGCTCAGCCTAAAACACGGAGGCAAACGGTGGACCTCTGGTTCCAGGATCTGGCTCCAAGATCCCTCCCCTTTCCCCTGTCATCTATAGCCAGAGGCAACCATATGACATCCTGGTAAGTCCTGAGCTACAGTCCCACTTAGCAGCTGTGTAGTCGTGGGCAAGTCACTGCCCTTCTCTGAGTGTGAGTTTCTTTACCTATAAAACGAGAATGATCCTTCCTGTTTAGCTTAATCCCCAGGGTGGGAATCATAGGATTAACGAAAATAACGAAGGCAGGGTTTTACAGAGTGCTGTCGGGTAAACAGTGGCCATGGCTAACACTCACTAGACCCTCAGCTTTCTTCAGCTGCTCAGTTCATCAAACCCACTTCCTCCCCCGGCTGGGCCCGCAGTTAGACTACATTTCCCAGCCTCCTTTGCAATTTGATGGGCCCTCGAGACTGAGTCCCAGTCAGTGAAATGTGAATAAAGTGAGCTGTAGCATTGCCTGGCCCGGTCCCCAGACCTGGTCCCCTGCACGACCTTCGAGGCTCCTTGATGTGCAGTGATGGCCTGCTGATGCAGACGGGTGTGGTGACCTTGGAAGCCATGTGCGGAGGCAGGTGGAGCCACAGACGGCATGCTGAATGGAGAGCTGCTTGCCTCAGGATCCCCCCCTTGAACCTCCCACGAGTAGGAAACGTCCGCACTTGGCCCTTTTGGCGTCTGGTGACGCGACGGCTGCTATTTAATCATTCGCTTTATTCCCACTATGTAGTCTTCTCATTTCTAGAAGTTTTATTTGCTTTCCGTTCGAAATTTCTCAGCCGTTTCGTTTCTTACTTGCGTTTTTGATCCCTTCTTTGAATTCTTTCTACTCATTCGGCATCTTTATTTTCCATCCTACGCCCGAGGACCCGCTGCGTGAGGCCAGCCCGTGGTCGGGTTCCCCTGGCTGCTGTTGGCACTGACTCCTGTCCACTGTGCTCCTCCCTGTGTGTCTTCTGTGAACTCTGCTCACGGTCCTTGCTGCTGACTCCCTGGGAATTCCTCAAGGCCTATGTTACAATGGGCGCCTCCCGAGATAATTCACATCTTCTTTGGCCGGATAGTGAGGGTCACCTGAGTTGGCTCCCTTTGGATGACAGTTTTAGTGTGAGACACATGGTCCACGCAGCTGGTGTGAAGTCCGGGGAGGGGACCAAGGAGGCCGGCTTGTGGTCGTGACTCTGGGGAGATGCCCCGCTCCTCCCCTAGTGCCAGGATCCATACAGGCAAATGTCCTGAATTTCCTTTCTTTGTGTCCCCCTCACTCCCGCCCCGCTCATTCCAACAGTGAAGGCACAGCCCTCGGGGAGCCCGCTTAGGGAGGTGGGGCGGCTCCCCACCTGACTCTCACGTCGGTGGGCCCAGACTGTTTTCCCCGCCCAGAGCAGTGTGTGGTCAAGGCAAAGGAAGATCAGGTGACTGGCTTGGCAAACGTCCCCAGGGCACAGCCAGTTTTGGCTGGCTCCTAGGGACTTTCCTTGTTCCTGCTCGCTCAGTGCGAGGCATTCTAATACATACGTTACGATGTATATGCGCACGTACACGGAAACACGCTCACGTACGCACATACCTATGTTGTTTGTTCGTGGCTTTGCCGTGAAACTACGGCTCAGTGAATAGTCTACCGTAGTATGGAAAACGGAAGTCCTTCTCTGGTTGCACATTGTGGACTTTTAATAAGCAGCAAAGCATCGTTGAAATTCTCTCTCATCTGTCCCCTCCCCGAGTCTTCGTGTGGATGTAAGTATCCATCC